TTATATTATTATTATTATTACCCGCCTGTAGTCCCTGCCAGATATATATCCATGGCTTTCTTATTTAGGATTACCGTCTCTCGACGCCTGGGTATTGGCTGTATGTTAGGCAGCCGAGTACCGTTCACTGCGTTAAGGCTCATATCAGAGCTTGTAAAATCATCAGAGTGATAATAACTAGGTAAATACACCCAATTCCGTACATCTGCCGCCACGTCACTGGGGGTCGGGCGGGGATCGTCGGGCGAGACGACCATTTGGGTGGTCCCACTGGACTGTGATGAACTTGTGATGGTTATGGCACTGTCATGCCTAGCTACCGACGCCGGCGACGAGGACAAGGAGGACAGATTGAGCTCATGATTGTCCAAGCCGCGGTACAGCCGCTTCCGTTCGCGCTTGGGTTCCATCGGTTCCTTGTGTTTCTTACGCCAAATTACGAAAGCTTAGAGATAGAAAAATATAAAAGAAGTAAGCTAATCCTGTGATCGAATTTATGTTTAAAGTGCAATTTTACCTCGATCAATATTCTTGCGCGGCTCGCGTCCGCACAGATCTGGTTTGAACACGTAAAAGAATGGGCGTAAAAGGTGTAGGTACTGTTCGAAAATATATTGCTGTTCATATATCGATATATCGATACATACAAATATCGCTGGGCGATTCTAAAGTGCATTAAAATGTAAAATATTCAACAATATGGCTTAACCACCGAATCTCACGGCCCGAGAAGTGCAGCAGGTATTTGCAGAGATTCTCAGCCATGGCGAGGACATCACCTGGGATCTGTGAGTGCCCGCCCAAAAATCCTTTGTTCCTCACTTAAAATCTATAGATGGCCAATCCCTGACCTAACAGATTGCTGCAGAATCAACGAGACATTCTGAAAAGGAAAGTTCGAGAAATATTTAATCAGAGACATAAATAATTCTGGACAACGTTTGGACTCTACGTAAGCAGACTCCGCGAAACAGCAGCTCCGTCACTAATCCAGACGTACATACATAACTTTAGGTAAATGCGCCAACGGCCAGTCCCTTTCTGCGTTGTTCTTTGCGGTTATTGTGAATGGAGTGACCGACTTGAAGGAGGCAGATAATAGCAGATCACCCAGTTTTCCGCTGCCGTCGCTGCGATGGTAATGTCGTACATTAAAGTAGTTTCAAATTGATCCAATTGCATATGCCTATCACTATACTACTTTCAGCCGACACGGATGGAGGGATGAGCAGCAGCCCAGACTGTTGCGGTATGTATGTGGATCAAATCGGGCTCTTTGAGGACTGCGATGCATACTTAAAGCGCA